TTTGAACAAAAAAACAAAGATAATCCTGAATTTAAACGGTTAAAAAGATTATTTAAGTAATTTATTTTTGTTATATAAATAAATTATTGTATTAAAATTTTATAAATAAAATGTCTTTTCCAAATATTAAACAAATCTATAAAGTTTTATTAAAAGAAAAAACATGTATTAATTATTTAATTTCAAACAATATTATTCAAACTCCTTCTCAATATTCATATTGTGATTCGGAATTACGTCAAAATAAAAAACTATTTAGATGTAAAAATCTAAACTGTTATAAAGCAATTTCTATCTACAAAGATTCATTTTTCGCTAAGCATCATATTATTAGATCAGATATATTATTATTAGCATATTTTTGGTTGTCAAAAATCAATTATACATCTATTAGTTTAATGACAAATCATTCACCTAACACAATAGTAAATTATACCAAAATATTCAGAGATCTGGTCATAAACACGTTAGAGGATGATGATATGATTATCGGTGGTAAAGATATCATCGTGAAGATCGATGAGAGCAAGTTCAAGAAGAACAAGAATTTTTGGGTGGTTGGTGATGTGGAAAGAACCGAAGAACAGAAATACTTCTTTGTTGTAGTTGAAGATAGAAATACAACAACTTTAAGAAGAATCATCAAGAAACACGTAAGACCAGAATCAATTGTGTTCACAGATTCATGGAAAGGCTACCAGCTTGGAGGATTAAATCTTATTCACAGAAGAGTAAATTATTCGAGAAATGTGTCTGAAATATTCGGAATACATACAAACACAATTGAGGGAACATGGTCAGGACTAAAGACAATAATTGCTGAAAGGAATAGAAATCAAGACAAGATTGAAAAACATTTATTAGAATTCATCTGGCGAAGAAAACATAGAGAGAATATCTGGCAAGTGTTTATCGATATTGTTAAAAATTATTAATTATTTTAATAAAAATTTATTAATTTTACTCTAAGATATCTAATAAATTAGTTTTGCCTTTATTCTTTTTCAAATTATATTCTGTAAATTTTATCTTTAATTCTTTGATTTTATTTTTCAATTTGCTAATATCTTTTTTGTATTCTTCTATTTCTTTTGTTAAACGTACAATTTCTTGGTCTTTGTATTTAGGCGAATAGATAACACATTGCAGATTTTTTTCATTGCATTTAACACAAACATTTGGATTATTTTTTAATTTTACACATTTTCTTCTATGTTTTCAGCATCTCAGACATGACGTGTTTAGTGTTTTTGTTTGTAGTTTGTTTTTGTTAACCATTAGGAAAATTGTTGATTTTTAATAAAATCTTAAGCAACACTCAGGAATTTATATATTTTTTTTAAACTCAGAAATTTTTATTAAAAGTTGAGAAAATTTAGTTTCACATATTCAAAAAATATGCTACTCGTCATGCTCAGCACGAAGAGCTATTTTCTCGTGAGCATGTAAAAAAAAAAGAAATCAGCTTCATCCTTTTTCAAGGGAGAGGAAAAGACACTCCAAAGGATGCATTTGATCCTTCAAATGGGACCCCTAAATCACTAAATGTCAGTTCCCCTTTACGGATTCATCGCTGATTTTCCAAGAAAGAAGAGCTAGCTTAATGAGGCCGGCCATCAAAATTGCAAAGAAAATCGCTTCATTAATATCATTCTGAGAGACCCGGTTCCCACAAAACTCAAGTAGAGCTTCTGGACCGGTTCTCTGTCTCTCACGCAAAATTTAAGAGAAGACATGAACACACACACGAGTTACAGAGAAACTTTACCCGAAACAACCAACTACCGAAGAGATGCCAGCAGCTTTGGTCATTGTTTTAGCAAGAAATGCACTAGGATACACAACTACATTCTTGTTGGATTTTTGAAGGAATATAAAAAGTTGGCCAGTTCGCCCGTTTCCTATGCTATATGAAGATGAGAGAACACAAGTACGCTTCTCCAGATTCTTGTGAAAAAGAACTGGATATCTTACAGTTAAACATGCGTGGAGATGCTACAACAGCATGGTTTAGACTATGTATTCCCCATGTTCTCTCAGGTTCGATGTACAATCATCGGAAGAGCGAAAAGGCGAAAAACAGAAATTGGACACAATCGGTATGTATTTATACTGTCGATCAACCGAATGTATCACACCTGCTTACGTAATCGCACATGCATCACTATCAGAATGCCAAATCCGGATTCATACAATAAAACTAATATTTGTAGACTGAATGATCATCTACAAAAAGAACTTACACCAAATCACATGCATATTATTGGATTACTAATTTTAGATTTATATTATAGAATATACCAGAAATTTTATATACAATTACACAAAAAATTAAATATAATTACAAATATTTACAAAAAATACTTAAAATACAAAATTATTTTCAGCATATTCTAACAGGTCTTCATAATTTAACAGGTAAATATAACTAAAATTCTTGTTTAAAACTCCTATCGTATATTCAAAATCCTCCTCATATTGTTTTCTTCTCCAGAGCAATAAATCAAATGCACTAGCTTTGCTGTAGTACCATATCACATCATGAAAGAGATTATGGTAACTACGGATATGTGTGTCTAAGAATAAAAAGTACATTTTGAATCTTTCATACTTTTTAGTGTCTTCTCTTCTCACATCATTAACATATTCTTCATATCTTGTATAAAACTTCAGATCAATTACAAAGAATTGATTGTCAAATTCGACAAGTGGTAAGGTGTTTCAAAAGAATCTTCTTTATCATTAGTTGAACTTGACGGCCAAGACTCAACCTTGACACAAATATCGTCCCAACTGTCTTGTTGTTTTTGGGTTTTCTTGAAGTTTTTTAAAGAATTTCATGTTGTGTGTTGTATTTGTAAAATTCAGAGTGAATTGGAGGTTGTCTCCATTAAAATTCTTGCTGTTAAATAAACTTTTCCTTTGTAAATCTTACAAATCATCTTTGTCATCATCAATATAATTGGTTCAATATGCGTCAACTTTTTGCTTATTTTCAGTTTCTTTCAAACCAGTTTTTCTGATCCCACAATTTTTAAAATTATATAAAGACTTTTAAATTATTTAATTAATTTTTAATTAATAATTTTTTCAGGTAAGAGGACTCCAATCTGTGTTTTGTTTGGTCATTCGTTTTCCTCACATAAATACTAACTCTCACTATATTACTACTCTCCTGATAATCCTTGAAACTGTTGGGGTTTGCTAATGCTGATGCACTTTTCAAGTATAACAAAAATGTCTGATAATTCTATTCAGAATTCCAATTCTGATGCTAGCTCTGATCCTAATTATGATTCTATCTCTAATGACAAGTTATTGAAAAAAGAAGAATTTTGGTGGTATCAGGAAGATGAAACTGTGAATTATCGAAGGCCTTTAATGTTTCTTGATGATAACGGGCACATAACAGAATATTTGTAAGTTAGAATATCACGAAGTAAAAAGTTTTTAATCGATCATTCATACAAGCCTCTCATCAAACAGTATAAATTCATTATTGAAAAAGACAACATTATCGATGAATAGAGCAAAAAATTTCTGTTAGAATTACTGTATCCCAATACAAATGTTGAAAACATTAAGTTTAAGAATAGTTGTAAATTTGATCTTCGCGATCTTAACATTGAAATAATAAACAAATAAACACACAATTTTTTATTACACTTAAATATATTTTTTTATTAAATAGTTAAGGAGGAGGGAGGTTAACTTTGTGAGATGAGGTCAACATTAGATATTTTGCAAACTTTAGTTTGCAAAATATATCACGTCACCGAGGCATTCGTCATATCGTAGCAAAGTTACTGAACAACTTTTGCCCAAGCTTTTCTTGAAAAGCACGTCTAGCGAAGCGACCCCAACAGTTTCAAGGATAATATTAAATTATCAAGAGAGTGGTCAATTTTGTCGTCGTTTGTCACAACGATTTGGGATGAGACTGGGATCGAGCCGAATCAATGATGACATCAACGATCAGGGATCTCATATCATCGTACAAACACAGGCAAAATCACTTCAAATTCTTATAATGTAGTTAAAATTTTGGTTTAATTTAATAAATTTATTAGAAATAAGAAAATAAATATAGATTACAGTATAATTTTCATCATGCAAGATGTATGTGAAACTGAAAATTTTAGTTTCACATACATCGTGAACAGTGAAAACTAATCAGAAAACAAACAGCCCAACTATCTATTCTCTTTACAATTCACGTTTTTTGATCTTAGTTGCAAGCAGTTCGTCTACAATTCTATAAACATTCTCAACTGTTCTATCTACATTCTGATTATATGTGTCTATTTTGAAATTTGGTTCAACTTCTCATGTAAGAAGATCAACATTGAGAAGATGAATATTTTGGGTATAATATATATACACACCAAACAAAATAAACAAAATAAATATAATAAATAATAAAATAAAAATAATGTTTTTAAATAACTTCAAGTAATCTTTTAAAGTTAAGTTTGTGTTTTCAAGAGAACTAATTCTGTTCTCATAACATTGAAATTCTGTTGTCATTCTTTCAGTTAAGTAGTTTCTTAACTCTAAATTAAAATAAAAGTTAATAAATAGTAAAATTAACAGTAATAATTAAAACTAAAACCTTGTTCAGAAGTTGTTACTTCTTCAGTAATTTCAATTTCTTCAGACATGATCAAAGGCATTTTAGTAAAATTTGGTTTTATTTGTTGTAAAATTACAAAAAATTTTAATGTTAAAAATTGTTAGATTAATATACCAGAAGCTCTTAAAGAAGTATTAGCAACAGCCTCTTCGTATGTTGGTGGATTGTCTGATTGACTGTTGATCTCAATATTTAGAGATAAGATCTAGTCAAAATTGTAATTTGTTCTGGATTATTCATATAATGTACTGTAAAATAATAGGTGTGGAAATGATAAGATAAAGTGCGTATAAGAACATAGAGAATCTGAGAAATTTTTGTAAAAAATTGAGATTGTACGGTGTAAAACAGTATTTTTTTTTATAACAATCTATGTTTGTTATCAGTAAATCATAATCAAAACATATTAGGGTATTGTTTGTCATTCCAAATTTAGGTTCAATGGAGGGATTGGTGAATGCTGTTTAGTGCATGTGGCTACATATTGTTATCTGATAACAGTGTTGATTAACCAAATTCAAACTCATTCTATTGGATTATTTTATTTGTATTTATTGTTGATAAGAACAAAGCCAAATTTAGACTCATTCTGATTAGTTATCATGTAAATTGTCTTATTAGAATCTGATTTTCATTTATAAAAATGCCTGATAATTCTGGTGAATTCTTTAAAATTACAATCTAGTTCTGCAATGCAGAACACTGTCTGAGAGAGGGTAATAACGGGAGCAAATGTTAATTTGCGGACCCAAAAAAAATACATGAAATGTGTTTTTTTAGTATTACCCTGCTCTCAGACAGTGTTCCAAATATATTAACAGTATTAAAATAAAAAATCACTTAATCATTTCTCTGAGTTACACATTCCTCAACTTCCAAATTCACACCTACTTCTTCCTTCCTGAATAACTGATGCTAACTCAGAGTAGAAAAATCTCTTCCATGCTCGTAATATGAAAAACATCAAAGAAATCAGACAACAAATCTTTGAGGCCATTAATAAAAGTTGCTCTAAACTCCAAACACATCCTACCTCTATAATTAACAGTATTCTTAACTGCCACAAAGATCCAATTAAATTCAACAACATCTGACTCAATAACGATATTATTAGTGACCCTCCAACTATTAAATCTCATATCCAACAACACTTCGATAACTGGACTGCCTCCCACATATCAACTCTAACATCTTTAATTCTTACTGGCAAACAGAATACAACCCTAAACTCCATATCGATTCCACATGGTATTCTAACACTCTCTCCAACTTCACTGAGGCCGAAATCATACTAACTATCAACCAACTCCCGAACAACAAAGCTTGTGGCCCATCAGGTATTAGCTACAAAATGATAAAACATGCTGGCTCTAACTTCATCACTACTATAACATCTCTCTTCAACTGCTGCCTCCTTTTCCAAACTATATCCAACCAATGGAAAGAAGGATGCATCTTCACTATTTCCAAAAAAACCTATTTTTGATAGCAACTTATTAAATACTAGGCCTATTAGCCTCATAGAACATATCAAAAAACTATACACTAAACTCTTTACAAACCGTCTTAACCTTACTCTTTTCCAACATAATATCCTCTTACCATTTAACTTTGTTGCGCTCTCTGGCAACTCCACTTCTATACCTATCCATATTCTTAATAATATAATAGAAGATGCAAACTGCAACTCTAACCAACTCTGGCTCCTCTCTCAAGACATGAGCAAAGCTTATGACTTAGTCAACTTTGAACTTTTTCATAAATCTTTACAACGAATCCAAATGCCTCAACAGCTCATTAACATCCTAACCAATCTTCCAACCGTGTCATTACCAACCTTGGCCTTACAAATTTTTATTTAGTTAAAAATGGTATTAACCAAGGTAAAACTATTACTCCTCTCTTTTTGAGAATCTATTATGCCTCTCTCATCTCTAACATTTCTTCACACTTTTTCAGATATACACTCTCTACCTCCTATCAAACTAGCCTTGTCCGCCCCTCCACAAATCATCTCAACACTTCTATTTCAGTTCTCGCTTATATGGACGATACATTATGGATTGCACAATCCAAAACACAACTTGAAGAAATTACCAAAATAGCTTCCTCCTTCTATTCTATGGCTGACATTCAAGTCAACCCTACTAAATCTATATTTATTACTAAAGAGTCTTCTTCTAATCTCTCATTCCTTAATTCCAACTTGCAATCTATCCTACCCTCTCAACCCTTCAAATTTCTGGGATGTTGGTTTACTCTCAACAATAAACAGACCTTACAAATTAAGCTAATCCAAAATGAAGCCATCCAGTTAGCCAATATCGCTGGCACTAAAAATATAATAGACAAACAAATCACTTATATCATTAATACTATTATTATCCCTACTACTGAATACCGGCTTCATAATGTTGTAATGCCTCTGTATAAATGTAACCAAATCTTGGGCAAATACTTTACTATAGCCAAACACAAAGCTCATCTTTCTCACTCCACTCCCAATAGCACATTTCTTAATTATAATCTCTACAACATTCACAACATCTGGGACATACAATTACAACACCATATTAGTAACTTTTTTAACCAAATCAACAACTTTTCTACCCTTGGCACTACAACACATATTTGACTTCAACAACTTCAAAACAACCTCTGGTCTACAACTAATATCCTTCAACACCCTCACTCTATCATCAACGGTCCCAACAAACACACTACTACTTTAAAAATCATACAACTCTTTAATTATTTACATATTTCTATACATGCATATTCAGACTTTTCTTGGCCTAAAACTATAAACAATAGCTATACCCCACTCAAAACTATTATTTTTGATCATTCTAAATATAATACCTTCAAACAACAACTTAGACACAAAAATATCCTATATTTGGAACAACTCTGCTCAGCAGACAA